CTTGTTTCTCCTTGTGGTAAGTACTCTCCTCTCTCTTTTGATATTTACCAAAGATTAAGTGGAACCTATCCGGTTTACTATTACTACTTTTGCCTATTTGCTTATTTTTGCTAGTGTAGTGTACCAGAAGTCATCTCTAGCTTGCCTGAACGTACCGTGTGCTTATCTCATTTGCCCAAAGTGAATGTAACAATATTTTTTAGTCATTTAGTGATTTAAAAAATTATATCTCCGTTATTTCTGTGGAAGTATATTTCGAAAAGTATTTTCTGACCACGAGTTGATCACTATTTGTAAATTACCTATGAATTTGAATTTTCATTTTGAGTAAGACTCACAATGAGATGAGTGAGAAATGAAATGGAATTCAAAAGAAATTTTCTTACTTTCACAAAAATCTTGAACGAGCTTTAGAGAGATTAGTGGGAAACATTCAATAGGAAGAAAAGCTTAACAAATTGCATAAAAAACTTCTAAAAGAATTTTGGAAAAATAAAAGGGCTTATTCTTGACAAGAATTCAAGTGGATTGAGAATAAGAGATTGAAAATAAATGTCATTTGATTGCTCTTCAATTGAGATGCCAAAAACTTTAGAAATAGCGATGTGATAATAACGATCCACATGAGCAATAAATGACAGCGTTGCTTCCGTCACAAAAATTGATGTTTCCTATATATAGAAATGTGAATGGAAATAAAAGCGGTTTCATTAAAACCTTAAATAAACAGGTTATTTGCATGTTGGTTAGGGGAAAATACATCGAAAGCCGCTTCCTAAAATAATTATTTGAAATGGTTGGTAAATATTTATTCAAATTGTATAAATATTATGTTGCCTGCCGATCATATTTTAATAGCAATCTTCTTGTAACCCTTTTCGTTGTCGGCCAAGCTTTCTTTAAAAAAATGAGAAAACAATTCTGTAAAGGAATTTTTAATAGCATGAATGCGAAACGAGTGAATTATTAGTCGAAACCAAGCGCCCAAGAAATCCTCAACATAACGATCTCAATTTCTCTTTCCCTTTGTTTCCGCGAAAACCCCCTTCTAAGCTTATTCGAGGGTAATTAGCAGACGCTTTAAAAGTACATTCCAAACTAAGCACAATTTTTGGTAGAGAATCTCTTTTTATTAGTTCCAAGTTTAGGATTTATTAGACAATATGCTGAAAGTGGAAGCCTCGCCATTTATTCTGATCTTAAGGTATTTGAAGGGATACGCCTAAAAAAAGTACCAACCGACATTTCTCTAACATTAAAAGTAATGTACGAAAGTGGTAGATTTATATCCAGGCTGAATCTGTGCCGAATGGCGGATTTCTTTAAATCGTTCTGAAAATCCACTTAATTCCTTTAGCAGGAAGCATGCGAGTCCGCTTGACAATGGCGTCCTTTGTAATTTCAATGCATTTCCGCAAAGTTCGCTGACATGCAAATTTTCGTCGCTTTTATTTCGAAAAAGACAGAAAGTTTCATTTTCAGGAACCAATAGCTTGTGAATGCGTGCGGATATTGTCATTAATTTTACTACCAGTCATAAGTGCACTCTCTGCGCCACATGTATTCTTACACTTGACTGTCTTTTTTGCGAGTCGAAGCGTTACGGATTTATTTCGACATTATGTGCTGGTCCACTCAATGCCATTTGAGTTTCAAAAGGCGCTGCAACTTGCATTTACAAAGTTTACTAACTTAAATTTACGTATCAATGCTTTCGAGTTTTAATTAAATTTGCCCTTACTGCTCTGCATCGAGAGACTCTGCCATTTACTTCGGGATTGATTCACAACATTCACTTCTAAATTGCATTTCGATTTATTGTAGTTGTTTGAATAGATGAAGACTCGGATGAAGATTACTCTAAGATACATAAACGGAAAGCTCAAATCTATTCTATTTCAAACAGCCGATAATGCCGAACTTAGGTTGTTAATATTTTAATTAGATATACTACTTCCTACTCAAATGGTCGTCGATGGCTACTCGCAAAACAATATTGTTGTGTAAACAACGTCATGTATAGACGTTATTTCGGTCTAAATTGTGGTTGAATGGTAGAGCGTTGGGCTATGAATCTGGAGGTCGGGTGTTCGAACCTGGGTTGAGGTGAATTTTTCATCTGTGGCAGTGATGGGAATTACCTTAGACCAGTTCGGAGCATTCTGCCGGTTACTCCGAATTAAGTTTTTCCTAATTCGTAAGGACCCAGAACAAGAGAGGGACAATAAATAAATAAATACCAAGAATAATTACCGGTATACGTATACAGGGTGTTACATGCCCGCATGTAAAAAAAATTTGGTGATAGAGGGGATCAGCAGTTCTTCCAAATAAACCGAGGGTCCAACGTGTTTTGTTTGGGAGCCACCCCCACAGAAGTGGTGAAATTTGGATTTCTGGTTACAAAGTTACAAAGATGGATGGCACGCCTTTGAATAGGTTTTCGGGTATGCCCTATTCGATTTTGAAGGAATTGTTTCAAAATTCCTACCACGAAAGGGCGGATTCCTACTTGGGGGTGCGAAAAAAATTCTTATTTCGACGAAATTTGGTATCTGGGGATTTTTGAACATGAAAATTACGAATCTGGAATTAGTTTTTGAAAATAAAAAAAAAAGTTCCACTGCAATTCTTGGTCGGACAACGAAAATAGAATTCCACGAAATTTGTGGTGAGTTAAGGAACCAAATTGTCGAACAGGTTTTTAAAATCACTTTTCAAACAAAAGTTATACTCATTTCAAGATTGGCCTTCGGGTTACAAAATGTCCCCCGCCTACTAGTGAATGATCTAATTTCGCATGTAGTTAATTGAAAATGTTGCAAATAAAAAAATAACGATTTAAGTCGATATTATGATTAAATGATCACAAAAAATTCGATATGTCGGTCATGGTATTCAAGTCTGCAAATTCTATTCCAAAAATTCCGTGGCTGCAGGTGGCGGGAAACTGATTTTTAAGTAGAGTTCTATCTATTACAATCAATAAGCATTATTGCAAGTATAATATCGATTTAAATAGTTATGCAGAGTGTTTTATAGCGTGCCAATACACCCCAGGAGGCATATGTAAACCTAAGATCCCATTGGCAGAGGTACTACAATAATAACAAGACAATTCGAAAAGTGTGGTCTTTTCCACACTATAATCGTGCACTGAAGGGTTAAATGCCGTTAGACTTGCGAATTATTAACTATGGTCACCCCACTAATCTTGTATATGAGAATATATCAATTTATTAAATCAATAGGGGGATTATTTACGAAATAGTCGCAAAGTTAGCTCGTTTCATTTGAATTATTGTATCTTATCGTTATTTTCCCTTTTAGAAATTTTGTAAATAATTCATTCATTTAAATTTTATCGCTTGTGTTTCGAAGAATTGCGCGTTTCAGTTAGAGACGTTTGGTGCGTTCCGCCGTTGATTGGAGATTTATTGGATATTTATGGTAGAAGTGATTTTTCCTTAAATACTGGGGAGAACGAGAAAACGGGGTTGTCAGTATTCTCGACGGTTGAAAAGCATATATATCTTGCTAAATTACCGGCGGTCGGCCCTATTTGTTTTATTGCAGACACAGTTCGCCATTTTTTATAATAAATTTGTGCAGAAGCTTAACGCGCATTGTTCGATTATGGAAAAAGTCTCCAACTATTAAGAAAAGAAACTAAGTAGTTTAATATATTTTTTTAAATTTCAATTATCGACCGCATGCGTGAGGGGTAATATGTCTAAACAAGGTTTGTAAGCTTTTCTTCCGCTCAGGGATTTTGTTTTAGTGTCTTTATTGTGTTTGAGAATAATTTTTTGTCATTGTCAATCGATTAATTGTGTGCCTCTTCGAATCTGGAGCTGTCATGTCAGATTTTTTATATTCGTGTTCAAGATTTATTTCAGATGTTAATCAAAAGTTGTGTATGAAATTCTAATAGCCGAACGTTCCTTACACAACGCTCTCACAGGCAGACCCCAGACACCAGCAGCTGCACCTACTCCAAAGAATCCCGTAGACACCTGTTAAATAAGTAACAGTTGACTTCATCTTTTCGAATGCGCTCCCAGACCAACTGGTGACACCCCTACGGCCTCTGTCGCCGTCCATGCATTCTCCTAAGAAAAGAACACGCAGCACAATATCCCTCCTCACCGCACGAGAAAGAGAAGCTAAATCAATTCCTATTCGCAAATCGCGCCACCTTCACACCAAACGCTTCACTGTTCTATTGGATACACGCGACGGTAACGCTGAAACAACAACCGGACAAAACCGAGGAAGTGATCGAGAAGTGAGAATCCGCATGGGTAGTCCCGATCGTATGGTACCCAAACCCGACGACTCCACAAGGGCATGCGACTATCGGCAATTAAATTCGGTCACGGTCCCAGACAACTACCCGCTTCCCAGGATGGGCGACCTACTCCACATCGCCAAGGCATCCCTTATGTGTACCATCGACCTCCAGGCCGAATACTGTCAAATTGCGGTAGCCGAAAAGGACTGTATTACCGATTTAAAAGGATGTCTTTTGGGCTAAAGAACGCCCTTAGAACCTTCCAACGACTCATCGATCGATTACAAAGTCAAGTCACCGGCATCACTATTTTAGCCTACCTGGATGACATTATCGTCCTATCCCGAGACGCCGCCACTCACCTCCAGGATCTGCAAGCCACATTCGACAGACTACGCCAATTCAAGATGAAAGCACAGAGGCCAATAGAAATTCGATAGAAATCCAATAAGCATTCGGGAGGGTTGAAAAAGACGGGGAAAATTAAGGCAATATATATAGTGATCATTCAAGAGAAATTCAGAAATAATTCAAAAGCGACAAGACGAAACGCACAGAAAACCTACGAAAATT